CCCCAAAACCCCAAAACCCCAAAACCCCAAAACCCCGCTTTGGCTCAAAATTATTGAGAAATAGTAAAATATTTATAAAAGGTATTCTATTATGAAAGTATGAGAGGGTTTTAGTGATACATGGCATACATCTAACCAATTGTGGCCATGCTTCATTCTCCTTTGTAGGGTGGTGGGACATTTAGTAGTCTTAGGAAAGGCTATCAAAGCCGTTCATCCCTCGTTCTGTGTAATTTCTTGCTCATTGGAGTGCTGTTCCTAGTCAAATCTTAAATTATGAAAATAGGGAGATATGAGAAGAGTTACTAGGGTCAAATTATCCAACTCTAAAATAAAGAGTGAGCCAAGGACCAGCATTAGCAATGAGAGCAAGCAAGCAGAAGCCATATGTACCAACTTCAGTAATTATATTAAGAGGTAACTTATTATTCCTAATCTGAAACCCGAACAGTTAGCCTGGAAGGTTTCGTACACATTTAGTTTTATCAGGGCTCATCATGGTTTATAGATTTACTCCACTCAAGGCCAAGATGGACAAATTTTTCAGTGCATATAATAGAGGTATAAGCTGGGACAAATACTTTGATTTTTCAAATTCTCAAGCAGCTCCTATTGAGTAAGACTTGTAGATGACCTTTAAAGGATAACATCTGTGAAGAAGGATCAGATTTCATTGAAGGACCCCCAGTTCAACCAGAAATGGGGCAAGCTGATGGACCTTATCCTTCATAAAGATAAAGATGGTTTCTCAAAATCGATGAAGATGCTTAAGACCAAAATCGTTATCAAACGAGAAATTGATTCTTTGGTTGAGGTAAGTTTTATAGTTAAATTTTCATAACATATTATAGTTCGAGAATTCCATTCCGATGAAGGCAAGTTACAAGAAGTTTAAGTCCAACAGAAGGTCAGAGAACCAAGTTAAGGCGAAATCTTACCTACCTGGCTCCCGTACTTCTAGAGCCTCCTCTGTAAAGCTGGCTACTACACAGACATCTGATGCTAAGAGTAAGCATTTTCTGGGAGACTTTGGTTTAATGCAATCGAAAAAGAGAATTTATGATGTTTATTATAGAAAGAAATGCTCTTAAGCCAAGTGACCAGCATTTTGTAAGTCATAGTTTAAGGTTTTATCATTATACATTCTTTCTGATTATGAGAAACTAATTTGTTTCTAGGGAATATTACCTTTGAAAATGGTAGAGAAGTCTCCATGAGAATCGCAGGTAAGAGCTTTAAATCACCCTAATAGGACCGGTTCACTTCGAGAGCTTTAGAAAGCCAATTTCCTGGAAATCTGAATATGAATACAGTAGAGAAGGTAAGCAAGCTTTTAGGTTTTTAAGTTTTCTAGTAATTTATTTTTTCTTTTAGAATCTTATACCAAAATCGAAGTATTTTAGAGGAGAGAGAAAACTTCATAGCTCAGTTCATAGGAGAAGATCCAGTCCTCCTAAAACAGCTTTAAGCAAGTCAAGGCAGCCATTCTTGTCTCGTGTAGAGGAGGCTCCTAGGAAAACTAATCAGAAGCTGTTGAGATTGCTTTTATCCAAGAAGCATCCAATTTTTAAAGTAAACTCCTCAACGAAGGCTCATAAGAAGTTTAATTAATATTTACCAAGTTCAATTATTTCTTGGAAAGTTGGGGTTTTGGGGTTTTGGGGTTTTGGGGTTTTGGGGTTTTGGGGTTTTGGGG